CCCCGCTCACACGCAGGCCACAGGCGGAGCGATGCCCCAGAGCCGCTCCGAGGGCCGTGGGAAAGCGCAGGCCCCGGCCAGCCCGCCCCTCCCCGCATGCAGCCGCGCGCAGCATCGCTGTTCTTTTTAATAACTTCGGAATAAAGTTGCGTTTCAGTGCAGTGGGCTGCGCGCCGGGGCGGGCTCGGGGCTTTGTCCCAGGGTCCGCCGAGTCTCGCAGGGGCTCTAGGAAGCCCAGCCCTGCGCAGTGCAGACTGGCTTTGGGGTCCGGGTGGCCGCGGGCGGCGGCGTCAGCTCAGAGGGTCAGCGGCTCCGAGCTGGCGCAGCTCAGCAGGTCCTGGCCCTCCACCGGCTCCGGGCTCTCTGGCGTCTGTGGAGATGGGAGCTGCCAGGCCTGGGTCTCCTCCTCCAGGACACCCAGAGAGGGGGGTGGGGGAGAGGGAAATAGAGAAGAGGGGAGGAGGGATGGGCTGAGAGGGTCTCTGGGCAAAGGGGGTCACCACCCACCCCTTACAGGCATCTCCAGTGGAGCGCAGACCACCCCCCACTCCCCACCCCCACACTCATCCTGGCCCTGAGTGCCAAGTGCGAGCTGTGCGGTGGGTGGGGGCATCTGGCCTCTCTGAGCGCACCCTCCCTTTGAAACCAGGGTGAAAACTTGTGCCCCAGTTCTGGGGGCGGGCTCCCCAGCAGGGGTGTCCAGCACCCTAGAGCGGGGCTGTGAGGGACTCACCGTCGGGCTGCCGCCTTTGCCCCACCACGGCCTCAGGGCCAGCAGCCGGTGGGTGAGCTGGGCGCAGCGCAGGGCGAAGGCGCTCTCCGCAGCACAGAGCAGGAGTGAGATGCCCCAGAGGCACAGGCTGGAGCTCTGCAGAGCACAGGGCAGACGCTGCGCTTCTGGAGGGACCCCGGGGACCTCCCGCCCTTCCAGTGCTGGTCCCTCCGCTCCAGGCTCAGGAACTCACGTAGATGCGGGTGGGGTCGAAGGGACAGTTGGGTGCTCGCACCAGTAGCTCAGGGTCCCCGAAACTGCAGGCGGCCAGCAGTGCCTGGCCCCGGGTGGCAAAGGTCATGGCGATGGACGCCAGGAGGCCGAGGGCACAGGTCAGAGAGAGCAGCGCGCAGGCCACGCTCGAGCTGAACACTGTCCAGCGCTGGGAGATTGGTCAGTGGGTGTTGGGCTTGATCACCAGGGCAGCTCTGGCCTCCCGCAGGGTCAACCTCACCCCTCCTCGGCCCGTGGGGTAGGCTGCTGCCCCACCACCCATCCCAGGAGGCCACGTACCAGGGCTGTGCTGGAGAGGTAGCGGGACAGGACAATGGCCGCGATGCCCGAGGTGATGACCTGTGGGAGGACATCAGCTCCGTCCCTGCACTGGGACAGGTGGCCCCCGAGGCTGCTCAGGTGCAGGAAGAGCCCGTCGGTGCCCCCGGCCCTCTGGAACCCCCATGCTGGCCCAGCACCCCTCCACCTGCACCAGGCCCTGCCTCCTCGTGCTTCAGCCCTACAGGGATGTTCCTAAACCCCAGTCCCTGCCTGCAGCCCCCCAGGACCCCACCGCCAAGAGCCCTGGCCTCATGAAGGCCGCAGACCCTGGCCGAGGGTAAGACGGGGTGCTGCCCAGAGCCAAGAGCAATGGTCTCTGCAGTGAGACGGGAACCAGTGCTGCACTGGCCAGGATTGAAGACCAAGGGGTTATGTTAGACTACAGAGCAGGTCATAAATCCTAGGAATTTGGGCCAGCGAGCGGTGTGGAGATTAAGGTGCTGGACCCCACATGGCTGACCGCGGTTCGAGTCCCAGACCTAGTGGTTTGAAAATTAAGCCAGGCGCATGTGCATGCGTGCCCCAAATCCCAAGAAATGGATGGAGAAGGGATTGCGGTGTGGTCATCCCCCTGGGGAGGGGGTGATTTCTCACTTTGTCTCTCTCTGGCAAGCACGCATGCCCTATAGCAAAAGCAAACAAAATCCCTAGGAGTTTTAAAAATGACTCCAGGCTCCCAGTGGAGAGGCAGCACCGTGCCTCTCGCCCAGCAGCTGCCCTGGGATCTCGGGCCTACTCAGCCAGGCTTCTTCTTGGGCTCCCTCGCTGTGCAGGCAGCCAAGGGGACCTGGGCTTCAGCCTCATTCACTGCAGAGCTGGGGCCCCCATGGGGTAAACCCCGCCCTGATGAGCGCACAGAGGGCGGCATGCAGGTGCAGAGGGTGGGGCCCTGACCTTGGTTTTCTCTTCTGTAAAACATGGATGCCAACAGCCCATGTCGGCAGGAGCAGTGAGGATTAACTGATTAAAAGGAGGGGCCAGGGTGACACCATGCCACACACTTGGGCAAGGTCTTGGCTGAACACCTGGGCCGGCTGGCTGAGACGGGTGGGTTCTGACATGAGGACCCCCCTGGGGGTGCCTATCTCTCTGCCTCTGACTCTGTGTCTCCTGTCTCTCTCATGGAAGAAATAAATGAAAACACAGCAGGACCAGCCGATGGCGTGGTGTGAAAACCCAGGCGCCCCCAGCCGATGGCGTGGTGTGAAGGCAGCTGGAGCCCACTTGGCTGACTGCGGTTTGAATCCTGGACTCGGCAACTCACGCAACACACTGGGCACATGCACCTAACCCCCAACAGGAGGGGCGGTGGAGACAGGCTGCGGGCCCATGCCCCAAGGCGGAGCCGTGTCACTTCCACTTTCTCTCTTGCCCAGTGCACGTCCTTCAGCAAACTAAAAACGAAACAGACAACAGCAAACGCTGCGTGAAGCAAGGCAGGGCTGAAGTGGGCCAGTCCTGAGCTGGTGGGGACGGTGCCCTCCCCACGAAGCTGGGAGAGGAACAACCGCTCACAGTAACGCCACCCCAGGGACATGCTCACATCCACAGCCCTGCCCTGTCCCCTGGCCAGGCTCTCCCGCTCACCCAAGCCCTGGGGCCTCTCCCTGGGGAGGAAGCAGGCCATGTCCCTCAGCCAGGAGGAGGCACTGGTGGCCACAGATGTGCCACGCTCCCCAGAGGCTGGGGCTGCGCCCCC